TTTATTCATTCATTTTCAGAGAGAGAGAGGAAGAGAAGGAGAAAGAGAAGGAAAGAAACATCAATGTGTGGTTGCTTCTCACACACCCCCTACTGAGGACCTGGCCCACAGCCCAGGCATGTGCCCTGACTGGGAATCAAACCAGTGAGCCTTTGCTCCACAGCCCACACTCAGTCCACTGAGCTACACCAGGGCTTAAATAAGTAATTTTTAAGTGTACATATTAACAACTTTGGCCACAAAAAAATAAGAAGACATACAAGTCAAATAGCAGGCTGTGGAAGGCTGAGTGAGAAGAAAACAGGGAAGTTAGTATCTTCATCTTACAAGATGCTGAGTCACCTGATATTGCTGAAAATATATAAAATTAAAAGTAGGCATTTGAATTATTTGTTTTAAATAAAACAGAAGTATTAAAATAATCATTGAACTATCAAACATGAAAAGAGAAGGTGTACTATGGATGAAACCTCATCTGTCATGTCAAGGAATCAATGGATGGCATAAATAAATGAAGAGATAGAGGAAAATAAAACAGTCGTTCCCAACTCTGTCTGTACATGACCAGCAGTTTAGAGACCTAAAAAAATGAAAAAGAATTTTATTGATTTGGAAATAAGACAACAAATAGGTGTGTGTGTGTGTGTGTGTGTGTGTGTGTGTGTGTGTGTGTGTTTAAGATCCTTAGGGTGCTTCTAGCGTGCAGCCATCATTGAGAACCACTGATCTGGGAAACTGGAAAACATTGCCAATTAAAGAGTTGCCCTTCTGGGAATGGGGCAGCAGAATGGGGTAGAGGTGAAAGGGAGAGGCTGAATACTAACTTCGTGTTTATTCATTCATTCATTCAACACATATTTGTTGTAGGCCTTCTGTGTGTCAGGCACTGCTTTAGTCCTTTTCACCATAAGCTCTCCAGTACTAGATGTCTTTCCATAAACATATAAGTTGCTTTGATAAAAACCTTTTTTAAAGATTTTATTTACTTATTTTTAGAGAGGGGAGGGTAGGAAAAAAGAGACTAAGAGAAACATCAATGTGTGGCTACCTCTCACATATGTTCCACTGGGGACCTCGCCTGCAACCCAGGCATTCTCCCTAGATGGGGAATCGAACCGGCAACCCCCTAGTTTGCCAGCCAGCACTCAATCCACTGTGCCACACCAGCCAGGGCCAATTAAAATTTTTTAATACAACAAAAAAGCATCAGCATTCCCTGAATCCACACTTTTAAATATATTGTAGCCTGAGTGGAAAGGGCAGCCACTTATGCAGGGTGATACACTTGGGAAAACAACCTTTCACAATGGGGCAGCCAGGCTGTAAGCTGACTGGGAGAAGACAATGGGAAGAGTGCCTAAGGGCAAACCATTCCCCAGCACCCATCTCCTGCCACACCATGCCACTGAGCCAGGACTACCAGCTGGGTCTCAAAGTTAACAGCTCTGAGGACAACGGTCCCAGAGCTCCAGGACCCTACAACACAGTAAAGAGTAGGAGGGAGAGGATAGAATGGGGCAGGAAGGGACAAGGTCTCAATGCATTAATTCACCTCAGCCAAGGGTAAGCTCCTAAATAGTAAGTGAAATATATGACTCTTTGATCAAAATTGCAGTCTTGCCTCAAGCCATTTTGAGATAACATTAATGGTTAGTCATACTCCAGCAAGGATTATTTGACAACCTAAGAAAAAGTGAGGGCACCGGTGAGGGCTGAGAGCTCACTCAGGAGAGAAGGTGCCAGAGAGAAGAAAAGGGAACCAAGTGGGGAGACCCTCCAAACAAATGTCACTTACTTCAGAAAGAGTTTAGGGCCACCCCTGCCTGTGCCAATCAACTGCATAACGAGCAGCTATTTAACTGATTAACTCATCGCCACCTGGGAAATACAAAGTCTAGTACATCATCTGCATCAGGAAGATGGATACAAGAGGTGCAGAGAAGGAAAGAACTGGACTGAGTGTGCTGAAAACAAGAGGTATGTTTTGCATTCTGGAACTCAACATAATAACTATTTATTATGCCTGACCAACTAAACGATGAAACACTTGAGGTCATGTATCTATTTCATAACTCTGGGCCCTCACTCAGTGCCCTGCACATAGAAGGTGCTCAACAGATACTGTTGATTGTGATTGCAAAGATGCAGTTGCAGGAGAGGGTGGAGAGAATGAAACAGAAAAGAGTTAGGGTTAGGTGAAAACATTGGCTACTCTCTAAGTTTAAGGACAGCTCTACCTTTTAGTTTGTTTTGAAGACAGCGCTCCTTTCATTTAAAGTTGTAAAGTAGCAACAATAAGGCACATTTGCATATTTCAAACTCTTGGTATAGAATCTTATCAAAAGCCTGGAGATACTTTCACAATTGGTGGTGAGAATATAAATTGGTACAACATCTCTAGAGGGCAACCTATCTATTTACCAAATTGTACAAATCAAGGTTATTTGTCGTAGCATTGGTTTCAATATTATGTGATGGGAAACAACCCAAATGTACATCAATAGGAAACTATTTAAATAAATGATGGTGTATCCACACAATGAAATATTACGCCACTGTAAGTAAGAATAAGGAAGCTGTTTCCTGGAGGAGGACAGGGAAAGTCGGTAAGCCTTAAAAGAAAAAAGAAAAAAAAGAGAGGAAAAAGAAGCATCCAGGCACTCTCAAAGGAAGAAAGCAACTAAATCACTAGATTCTCTTCTGACCTCTACAATACTATATTACATTTGTGCTTGTTATACACAGACACACCTATAAATATATGGAAGTATATAGATTTTTGGAATTTTTCCCTTTCCTATCAATAATTATTACATTTTTAGAAGTGGGCAAGGTCTTTTTTGTTTTTACTCATTTTTGTTTTCCCAAGAGTTTCTAATTTCCCTTAAACGACAAATTAAGATAGTTTCTCTGGACTTTCCAAGATTCTACCCATCCCCCTCAACTTTTCTAAGAAAAATTGGCTTTAGTTCCCTATACAAAAATTCTGTTTTCTTTTTCCCCAGAGTTGTTCTTACGTGTAGACTTCCCCAAAGTAATAGATGAATTTTGGCGTTAGCAAACCACTTCCCAGCCAACAATGGCTAGTGATTCCATTTTCAGCCTCTGGCAGGTCCCACTCCGAGGAAAGATAACGGGCCTTCTCCATAATCAGTTTCCCAAGAGTTTTATGGGCAGTATTTGAACTTTTTTTAAAATTAAGACTTTACTTATTTTTAGAGAGAGGGGAAGGGGGGAGAGAGGCAAACATCAATGCGCAGTTGCCAATTGGGCACCCCCTACTGGGGATCTGGCCCGCAACCCAGGTATGTGCCCTGACATGTGCCCTGACTGGGAATCGAACCTGCGACCCTTTGGTTCTGAGACCCGCACTTAATCCACTAAACCACACCCCTCCAGCTGCTCCGCAGTGCAGGCTCCCTTCGGGAGTCGGTTCCTCTCAGGGAAAACGCGGCTCCCCCACCGCTGGGTAGAAGAGGTCACATGGATCTGCTGTGGCCAATGGGGAGCGAGCACGTCCGGAGGCCGTCTCCCGCGCCCGCAGTGGGGCGCGGCTCTGCTTCCAGACACCCTTGGGAGTAGGAGGCAGGGAAACTCGGTACCGGGAATACACTGCAGGGCGCCTCCGATTACCCTAGCTTCAGCGTTCTACACGCCGGAATAACAACTCCGGGTCCTTCTCACACCGCCTCTTTCAGTCTGCACAGCCCATATTTCTTCAGCGAGATCATAAAACGTAAGGGAGGATCGCGCTGCTACCTTCTGGGCCAGAGAGTATGCAAAGAAAATAGGAGGCTGGTGTGGGCTCCCGCCTCTAAACTGGGGGCTCCGCCGTTGTCTGCACACTAGTGGCCCACCAGGCTCAGATACCCGTCACAAATAAGATTTTGCATACGGAGTAAAACGAGAGTTCTAGGCACAAAAACAAACGTATAGGTTAGGTTGTAGGCTGTTAACTGTATAAACCCACAGGTAGTGGCATTATTGCTTCACCGTTTCTCCTGAGGTGAAATTGGAAAAGCATTTTGGGTAAATGTGGCAACCGCCCACAGAGCACCTCTGAAGGACATCGGCTTCTCAGAGGATCAAGCGGTACAGGGAGTGTGAAAACATATTGGAAAAGGTTTGCAGTAAAATACAAGTTCTAGAATAGTAATAGTTGAACAACTTTGTAAATATACTAAAAACTACTGCATTGTGCGTTTTGAAAGGTTGGATTTTATCGTGTATGGATTACATCTCAATTAAAAATATGTATATTATTCACAGGTGACAGAATCTCAGGCTCTGAGAATTTTTGACAACTACACAGATGAAAATTCAGTATTTAAGTCCATCAAGTTCTTTCTGGAAAATGGATGCCAAATTTGGTATGGTGACCAGACACAATGCTTGAAATTTCCATTTTCTCGGTGGCATGTGATTCTTTTAAAGTTGGAGAATAGTTTAAGATTAGTTTTAATAATAACCTTTTATATGTCTAGCATATTTTAATCTAAAAGTCTAAAAACCCATAATGCTCTTCAAAACATAAGACTTTAATTTTCCAACAGTCTGGGACATTTAGAAATCATACATTTTTGCAAAACAAAATTTCAAGTTTATCTTTCCTTCAGTTGTTTCCTGTACTGGCAAAATCAAGAAGGAATCTAAAATGAATTTTTCCTACCTTAAGAATGCAGGCATTGTCAGGTCAAGTTTAAAGACAAATTTTTCTTAAAAGATAATTTGACCTATTTAAGTTGCTTTGAGATCATCTTAATTAGTTGTCTTGTCAATGATTCAGAGCTAACAAGAAACTAAGAAATGTAATACCATGAAGCAAAAAACAAAGTCAGTTTTAAATTTTTAGCATATGGAACTTTGATGAGTAGATTTACCACTACCTTCTTACAGTTAATGTTTAAGTAGTCTATGTAATGCCCAAGTTTGTGTCCTCAATACCAAGAAAAACACAAGCTAAGTAGAACATTTCTCTTCGTTCAATACAAATATCTTACCTGGGTTCCTTGACATGGCTGCAACTGGCTGGTCGCTGGCAAGTCTGGTCATGTACGCCTTCGGAAAACTATATTTCACCCACAGTGATTTGCAACAATTTGTTACTTTGGAAGAGGGATTCAGGAGTTCTTTAGGTTCACAAACAATAGTATTACTTTCTTTCTTCTTCATGTTTTTTCCCTGTTGAAAAATATATTTTCAGAAGATTTCCCTCATTTCTCAGTATTATTGGGTGTGTTAGGCAAATATCGATGTTCTAACAATGCAAGCAACCTTTCTTCCATATCTAAAAGCGTTATGGATTCGGGTGGAAGATGGAACAGGGTGATCTCTAAGGCCTTGTTCAACTTAGGTAAACATCTCTCTATGTTGTTTAGATCTTCAACTAAGAATTGAACTAAGACTTTCATTGTCTATCAAGTGTACTTAATTCTCTTGACTTAAAGGTTTATTGAGAGTTTGATTTTCTATTTTACCTTCTAAATCTAAGCAGTTACTGGAAAGAAAAGGAGTGAATAAGAGAAGTGAGACCATAAAGAACAAGTAAAGAAGGTAACAGGGAAGGCCTTCAGGAGCCTTAGATCAGTGCTGTGCAATAAAAATATATGAATCATGCCCTGGCCAGGTTGCTCAGTGGGTTGGAACATCATCCCGGACACTAAAAGTTTCTGGGTTCAATTCTCCAGCAGGGTATATACATCTAGGTATTGGGTTCTAGCCCTGGTCAGGGCATGTATGGGAAGCAACAAATCAATGTTTCTCTCTCACACTGATGTGTTTCTCTTCCTCTCTCTCAAATCAATAAAAACATAGCCTCGGGTGAGGATTTACACACATGCACACATACACACAGAAATAAATATCTCTGGCGGCTTAGCTCAGTTGTTAGAGCGGGTTCAATCCTCTGGTCATGGTACATATAAGAATCAACCAATAATGCATTAGGCCCTGGCTGGTATAGCAAAGTAGATTGAGCACAGGCCTGCAAACCAAAGGGTTGCTGGTTCAATTCCCAGTCAGGGCACATCCCTGGGTTGCAGGCCAGGTCCCCAGATGGGGCCATGTGAGGGGCAACCACACATTGATGTTTGTCTCCCTCTCTTTCTCCTTCCTTTCCTCTCTCTCTAAAAATTAATAAATAAAATGTTTTAAAAAATACACAGAAAGAAAACAATTTTTTAAATCAACCAATAATGTATCAATATGTGGAACAACAAATCAAAGTTTCTCCCCCTTCCTCCTTCTCTCTAAAATCAATAAGTAAAAAATAAAAATATATGAATCATGTGTAATTTTAAGTTTTCTAGTACATTTAAAACAAAAAAGGTAAAATTAATTTTAATAATATAGTTTATTTAACTAAATATATCCCAAAATAAATCCAAAAGTTATCATTTCAACAGGTAATTGATATAAACATTATTAGTGAAATACCTAACATTCTCATTAAAGTAAGTCTTCAAAATCTGGTATGTATTTTACACTTACATCTCAGTTTGGACTAGCTGCATTTTGGATGCTCAGGAGCTACATGTTGCTAGTGACTACTGCATCAGACAGTACATACAATAAAGCTATATGTGTTTCAGCTTTAAGTACTTCAGCTTTACAGGAAGAAACAAGAATTGAAAAGAAATTTGAGAGAAAGGCAATAAGCAGCTGTCTCAGCCATACAAGCCAAGGCAAGGGAAATCATCAGGTAGAATTCTGACTCATCATTTTCAAATGTATCCTGTTTTCCAGGGAACATGCTACTTCAATATCTTGATTATTGTAATTTGGGCCAGATTAAGGGAGAGGGAGCCATGGGATGACGGGTTGGGAGTTCCTTGGCCTCTCTGGTGCTTGGATACCCTGACATTTTAACGACACTCATCAGGCAACTTTCTGACCTTAAATTAATTTCTCAAGTAAACTTTCCATTGGGAAAAGGACATGCTGTCCAGCTAATGCATCAGAGCCAGGTCAGCCCTGAATAAAATTATTAAGTTACTAACTGGGCAAAGTTGATAGTCAAGATGCAGTTGCCAGCTGAGGTTCTTATCTGAAAGAGCCAGCTGACAGCTTTACCTATCAGCCCATTGTGACATGGCATTGCTAGGTAACTGAGAATGTAAAATATCAAACCATGGTCTTTTAAAATAAATTACTAAGAATGTTGGATTTGGTTATCCCCAAATAGGTTATTATAATTTCCCCCAAACAATTCTGCAGGATGTTAAGAGTATTTATTGAAAAAACAATCAATGCTAATTATAATCTATTTTTCACCTACAATTTATTTTTAAATATATGTAATAAAAATACTTTTTATGTCGTTGTTAGTATTATTGAATAATCACGTTTAGGAAATGTTAGGTCAGAGTCGCTCAAGAAACTGGACAGACGCAGCAAGCTAAGGAGAACAGGGTTCATTAGCAGGGAGTAAGAGGGAAAGTGGAGCCAACCGAGGGAGATTGGGGAGCGAATCAAGGGAGGTTGAGACTCCTTCGGTTGTTCTTAGGTCAGGGTTTTCAAACACAAAAACCCTCGAAGGCTATTAGAGTTTGATTGGTTAGAGCTGGTTGCTGGGTGCAGGCTCAAGTTAAAGCTGCATCCTGTTATGCCGGATAGGCCGACCCCAGACCCTATCTTCCTGGGCAGGGTCTGCAGGAAGCTTCCCACAGTGCCGTTTTCTAGCCTGGTGATTTTCCGTTCCTCCTAGGCCTGCCTGGATCTGTCAGGAAATGGTGTGCCTACCTGAAAACACCAGGAAATCTCAGAATTCATGAAAGCACGATAATGGATTTGCACATGGAAGCCTAGGCTACTGCTGAGTTGATAATGTGGTCTACTTAACAATCTTGGGTTTATGCTAGTTTTCTTGTCTTATTATTTTAATACATATAGATGATATTTTTCACTTAATAGAGTTATTTTTTTCAAAGTTTGGAGAAGTTTGTTTCATTTTTCAGATAATGCATTTTTTAAATTAAACTTATTGGGGTAGCTTTGATTAATAGGATCTTGTAAGTTTCAAGTGTACATTTCTATGATCAAGATCTGTATATTGTTATTTTTATCTATTTGGAGGTTTTTCTGATATAAAGTTTAAAATATTTGAGTGAAGATTGTATCATTTGTTTCAGCAATTAGTTCACCTGTGGTTCACATTGCACTGTCTATGTGTGGTAGGCTAAATGACGGCCCTCCAAAGGTGTCCACATCCCAGTCCCCCAAGACGAGTGGATAGTTTACCTTACGTGGCAAAATGGACTTTGCAGATGTGATTAAATTAAGGCTGTAGAAGCAGAGATGATCCTGGATTAACGGGGCCCAACCTAATCCTACGTGTTCCTATAAGAGGAAGGTAAGAGGGTCAGAGCCAGAGAAGGAGGTGCGACCATGGCAGTAAAGGCCAGAGTGATGTGAGAAAGGCTCTATGAGCCAAGGAATGCAGGCAACCTCCAGAAGCTAAAAAAGACAAGGAAACTGAGGAATGCAACCCGCTAACCCATTTTAGACTTCTGACCTCCAGAACTATAAAATAATCCATTCATGGTTTTCAGGTCACTCCGTCTGTTGTAATTTACCACTGCAGTAGAAAATGTGTACACTGTGCTAACCTGAGTACATACTAAATTTTAGTTGGTACATTATAATTTTAAATGTGTTCATTGTAAAATAAATTTGCACATAAACAAGAGTCCTTATTAGAGTACAGTGCTTCTATAACAATAACCAGACAATAATAATAACTAGAATTGTTAAATTCTAAATAACTACCTATTGGTAGTGGCAACTACATATTAAGCTACAAATCACAGTAAGCAATTGATGTTGATCACCAATGAAAAATATGTATCAATCCCCTATTGAATGGCAGGTATTGCACTTGAGACACTAGGTATATATCAGTCAACTATAGACTGTCCCTTCCCTCGTGGAGGTGACAGTCTAGCAGGGGAAATAGGCATATTTCTGTCCAGAATGTATCCAGCCACATATGAAAAATATAGACACTTATTGAAGAAGATACAAGAAACAGTGTACATAGGGCAATGATGTCTCAATCCCCTTCAAAGTAGGTACCTTGGAACCTCACACAGTTCTCCCAATTGCCATCATATTTTGCCCCATCATATTTTCCTGAATCTTACTGACAGTCTGAAATCTCTTCCTTTTCAGAGGTGACTTAGCTTTAGGAAAAGCTAGAAGTCACAGGCTGTCAGATTTGGGCTGTAGGGGGGCTGAGTCACCTGGGTGATTTGATATTTCCCAAAAAACTCTGCATGAGTTGCAATGCACGAGTGGGCATGTTGTCGTGATGAAGCTGCCAATCACCAGTTCCCATAGATGCAGCCTTCTGAACCATCCAGCTTCCACGGAGTAATGTTCAAGCTTCATGCAAAATTTGATGCAGATTCATTGCTCTATTCAGTCATTTTTAATGTGATGACCACACAGTACACATGCTCACTCAGTGGTGTCTACCACCCCCACTGACTAGTACAGTGAAGTCATCATTGTTTACACAATGTGCATTCTAGTCCACTCTCCTTGGCTGCCAGGTTACATTGATGTCACACAAACCATTTTTGCTATGTGAACAATGGCTGGGCTTTTCCTAGACAGACCTTGGATACTTAATTAGAGTGGTGGTAGGTACTATGAGAACAAATCATGGGGAGTGGACCTAACCTGGTCCAGGTAGTCAGGAAGGACTCATCTAGGAATGATGTTTAAGCTAAGACCTAAAAGATGACTTGAAACTGTCCAGGAGGGCAGTTGAGGAAGGGAAAAAGGATATCAGAGAGCTGGAACACTCAGTGCTCAAAGGCAGTAAGGAATTCAAAGCATTTGAGGAACAAAATTAAATAACATTGAAAATACTCTCCAATGCAAGATAGCTGAGATCTTCTCTCAAAAATAACAAAGAGGAAAAGAAAAACCAGAAACACAAATCTCATCTTTATTTATTTATTTTTTTAGATTTTATTTATTTTTAGGGAGAGAGGAAGGGGGAAAGAAAAGGAAGGAGAGAGACATCAATGTAAGAGAGAAACGTCAACTGGTTGCCTTTCATAAGAGCCCCTGACCAGGGAGAGTACCCTGGTCCTGCCCCAGGCATGTGCCTTCACCAGGAATAGAACCAGTGACCTTTTGCTTTGTGGAACTATGCCCAGCCAACT